ATACGTTTCCCTGGTTATTTTGGCAGATTTGAGTAATTCATCTGACCCATTTGTGAAAGACTTGGCAACCTCGGTGGGATTCGAACTCACGACAGCAAGGGGAAGGCTTTGGCATAGCCAAACACTCTCACCACCTGAGCTAGGAGGCCCCGCGGGGAGCCGTGAGCCGTGAGTTTAATCTCGTTTCGTTCAAGTTACCCGCCCGGCCTGCTGCAGCGTATGTGATCCACCAATTCTGATACAGTAGGTTGAATGATCACGTGGGATTCCTTAAGCAACCACCAAATGACGACATTTAGGTAGTTTAACAAAATTATAATTAAAATCAGGGTCTCCAGTGGGTGCTCGTGGTCAAGATTTTTAGACCGTTGGTTGTATTCAGGCCTTGCCCTTGGGGTTGCGGCTTCGAATCCAAACGAAGCCGTCGAGTTTTTCGCAACTGGGTCAGATGAATGCATTTTCCTCAAAAATCCCCTCACACTCTAATCCACCATACCCTCCCCCTCCAGTACAGAGATCCGTAACAATTCTCCCTTACTTTTTCCTCCCACTCAAAAACTTATTTACTCCCCAGCCTTCTCACGCACACCAGCTGCCAGTTATGTTTCTCTTCCCTAACACGAACCTCACTCAAGTCTTGTAAATTGCTAGCGCATAAACTAGTTCTTCGGATTGAAATGCGAGGGACGTTGATGATTGTTTGTCGTGAGGTGGTTGAGGGAGAGGTATAGTTGAAGCAATATTTCCCGGAATGAATTTAAAGCGGGCATAGACAGCAGAATTTATTGGAACCAATAGATTTCGCGACGGCTTATCAACTGCAGATACCATGTGTTATCTGTGTTATGCAACGACACGCTGCGGATGATAAGCCGTCGAGAAATCTAGAAGTACAGTTGATGCCTGAAAGAACGCTCTCTGCTTCCACAAGCCGCCACTACTCCTCCGGGGCAACGCTGCCCCTCGTAGATATGATTGGTATCAGTGTCTACCAATGACCAGTAAAATGTTGGTCACTGATTCTATTTAGCCTAATTTGACTACAAACTACCATAAAACACTTTTTTCTGCTCGAGTCTTATCCTCCAGGTGTTTTATGAGCAAATTACTATCTCAGTTGATAGCGAGTACGGCAGCATCCGTTTAAAGTACCATGTCTAAGGTGGGGATGAACTGAAAAAGGAATCTCAAGAAGAATAAGTGCGTATAGTTAATGCGCAATATTATGACTGCTGTGTGCCTGGACGTTGCAGCGTTTCTCGTACACCCAAACCTTTCAACCGTATACTGGAATTGACAACTTTGTCCCATCACAACGCATAGACGCTCATGCTCGAATGACTCATTCTGATATAAGTCTCACGTCACATATGCTTTGCGAAATGTACTGTCTGTTTTTTATAATATTTTCATCAGACCTAAAGGATGTGGATTTAAATGGTTCAATTGTTTCTTCAATGAATGAAACCGAAGACCAAACGTCGCTTCCTTGGAGGACCCTTGGTTTGCTGCAGCATCGGCTAATCCTTTGTCCTTTGGAGGTTTTCACCAAAGGGTGATATGGAAAAAATAGGGCTTTCAGCATTATCAATGACAGTACCGTTCTTCTTAGACGTATGCCTCTGCAGACGGCAGGCTTAATAGAACACTCACAGCACACCTTGACTGTCAGCATCAATATAGCCAGCGTAGGTAGACGATAACCCTATACCTTCCTTGATGAGCGTATTACAAACATGTTCTACTGATGACGCAGTAAACATTAGAAGTCCTTATACGTCATCAACTTAGACGACACGGTCATCTTCCTAAACTATTAACCGAACAGTGACTGTCTCTGATGCTGTGTTCGAGTGAGAATCCGAAAAGTCAGACCCATAAATTTCCTATTTCATCGATCGCATCTTCTTCCGAACTGCTTCCTGGAACGCGCCTACTCGCTTTTTTGACCCGCTGAAGTACTTACACTGGTTTCGTTTTCTCCACTGCCACAACTAAGCAAGTAACGCAGTATACAACTCTTTGACACGCCGCATTCTGACAGCAGTGATTCAGGGTCACAATTTGCAAAATGGCTAGCAGTGAGGGTTTCTTAACAGCCCTTCTTATAAGTTTTGTCATGAAGCATTTCGGCAGTTTAATCTAAGCAGCAGCCCCTTGATCGTTGAAGATCAGCCTTCGGATTCGGTGATTTTAAGTGCGAAACCAGTAGTCTTTTTCGAAAGCCAGCGTCAGTAAATGTATTTAAATAATTTTCCGGAAAATGCGGAAAACTTAATTTCCTAATCATAAATACCTGATTGCACTGAGTTGGACTCAGACATTTTATCAAAACCTGCAATTTTGACATTTCCTATGAAGGTATAAATTTGTGATCAACGGTAGAAATATGCGCCAATCTAAGTTAGGTCGGGTAACATTGGTGCGAGAATGTGTGGATAAGGACACGGATGTCCTGAGAAACAAGATATATGTCGAATCTAATTGCGCTTTCTAACATGCCTCAAGTAATTCTAAGTTCATGTACAATGGTATACAAGCTGGTTGGTAATCTAATGAACAAAGTAACGTTTGTTCATATAATTTATTAATATATGAATCTCAGTGCATAACTCTGCTGACATTCACCATGACGCTTGCAGACCGCAGGTCATATTACTTTCCCTGGAGCTTATATATGCTTCAAGTGACGACTGTACTACGCACCTGAGCGAGTAAATATGCCCTCCGGTGCTGCTAGCGCATAAAATGCTTCGTTTGTCTGTACAACATTTGATACTTTCTTTGTAGCTCCCTAATTTTATTCTCCTTCCCAAACCCGAAATTTAACCCATACTTTGACCTTACCTTAGTCTCCTGGAATTTAACGTAAAGCCACCTGCATTCCATGGCGGGGTGCCTATTCTTTTGTTCTACCCAAGGAATAAACCATCAAATCCTCGCATTTGACTGGCAGTAGACTGGAATCACACAGACAGTCGCGAGACTGACGCACTTGACATAATCATTTGCAAATAAGGAATCTTTTATAGCAGACAAGTTCCCGCGTATTTCCACACGGGGGACGCGTATTTGAACATTCCAGCACGCAGACCAGTTCTGCATCGTAAGGAAGTATTTTTATTTGCGTTGAAACCAAACATGACCGGCTTGGAAGATGGAATGAGACAGAGTTGACAAAAGGCAAAAAATAAATGTTAACGATGGTCAGTCAGTAATTTCGGCCTTGTGGGATGAGAGGGGGAGGGCTAGTTACACAAGCTATAGAAAAGAAGACTTTTCCGAAGAGGATGCCTAATGGAATTGTAGATTATCATTGCTGTTTTTGAAGGCCGTCTATGTGCATTGTATTTTTGCCGGTATTATAATGACTGGTCTCTCGTAAGTGGATGTGGCCGAAATTTTCGATCCTAGTGAGCCAAAGAACATACTGTTCCACATAAACGGGGGTTTAAATTTGGTGTGGACCATGCTGAACTTGTGAGTATAGAGGAAGGAGAAGAGGCTCACCCGACTTGCCTGGCATGATCTCTAAGAACGATAGGAGCCTGTGAGATAAATATGCGCGTGGTTGCGAATAGGTTTTTACCCTCCAAGGAACGAAATCGATTCTGATTGGTACGGTGTGATCACAGTCTTCCTGAGACAGGATTATCACTTAGGATCAAAGGACTTTGATCGAAACGATCAGTTATCCCGCTTGTGTCTTTGCTGACTCGCCTATAAACAGAGGACTTTTGATGGACAATCTGTGGATCGATGGCGGGGACAATTTTCTTCTCAACACACGTGCATTCCAGAGACGTCGTCATGCTAAGGAAGCATGTTAGAGAACTGCGTCCCCCCTGACGCAGTCCGATGACGTCACGAGGGTTATCACACTAGCGCCACAAGTGCGAATGACGAATTTAGTCGTTTGTATGGACACCTTTGTAAACGCCCTGAGCGGGAGAAGTTTAGTGAGCTGGATTTACGAGCGTCACTCTAACTTACCTAATAGTATGCACTATCAGAGTTGTTGGGGCCTTCAGAAAAAGGCAAATGAAGAGTTAAGTAGGACACGCCAAAGGCTAAACTCCATCAAAGTAACACTTGGTCGCGCTCTAGCTATTAAAAAACGGGTGTATAAGACTGTGATTAGGCGAAATATCAATATAGATAAATAATTCCGCAGCAATTCCATTGGATGCAAAGGCCCAAGTAGAAGCGCGTAGGAGTTAGCGGATAGTAAGATAAAGACTGTTAGAAGGGCATTCTTTCCCGAAAAAACACCTAAATTCATTTTCCTTCGTAAAAGTCCGCAAAAGATGGCATTGCTAATAGGATTTAAATGCTTATTATGACGCGCTAATTCTATACGTCAATCCCGAATTTATTCTAAAATGTCGTCAAAGCTCGGGTCCCCTGATCATCGGAGAATCTTCATATAAATCAGTCTCTCCTTAATATATATGGTCAGGTCCGTCAACAATGGTCATTCAGTTTTTCCGACTAAGCCACTCGACAATGCTAGCATTGTCGTATCAGTTGATAGGAAATTAGACGCTCTGAATTTGCCTGAGAATATTCACGAACAGAAAGGTGGTATTAAACTATTTAGCATGTTTTCATTGACTCAATGTGGAATTCCTTGCGGTAAATTGCATATGACCAAAAAGCGCGCAATATTTTTGCAGTTAAAGTTATCATCACCCAAGGTTTTATACAGCATTTTCTCCTGGCGTTCTCTTTTTGCAGTACCGAAACCATTTTTGAGTTTGTTAATCGATACAGGAAACGCCTTCCAACATTTTCAGTGCACTACATGTCTGGTGACTTTTTCTATCGAACATTCTTGGGCAACTAAAAAAAACACTTCCTAGACAGAAAGTCACGTAGTTTCAAGCTCAAAAAATCCGGTCGATAACTGTTGAAAGACATCTGTCACTCTTTCGGTTAAGTAAATAGCTGCGTTGAATATATAAGAAGCTTTGGAATGAGAGCATTGTGTAGGTTTAATCATGTCTCTCGCAAGATTGGGACTTGCGTTTGTCCTCGTCGTTGTCTCAGGTAAGAAATCCTGCAGAATATATCCACAACTCACCGTCTCATCGCATCTTCCTCGTTGCATTGCTGCACTGGGTTGTCCAGTTTTCTTCCTTCAACCTTAATCCCTGATTGAAGGAAACAAGACCCAATCATATTAAGCAAAACTGGAGGTGATACGAGAAGGATCACAGTTTTTCTGTCAGACATTTTTCCTAGAGTTCTAGAGACACTTTTACTTCAACAAGTAGACTGCGTTTCCAGAGTTCTTGAAATCCGTTTTTACTTCCGTCATTGGGTGCACACCAGATGTGTTTACCAGGTAGCTCGGACTCCACATTCATTTCAAAAATTCCCCCTCACTAGTAAAAAGTGGATTCATTGTAACACTAGCTGTCTTCCATACTCCAAAGCGTTGTTTTATTTCAGCGAACAATGTATTTACCTTTATCATATACGTCAAAACATGTGTTCAACTGCAACCGTTCGCATGAATTCTCAGTCAACAGCGTGAATTCCAGCTTTATCCGTCAAAGGACAGCCGTTGGGAGCACATTTTTTAGTGGCTTCAGTAGACACTCAGGAAACAAGCAGCTTGATTGAATTGACCATGCGATATTTAGAAGTAGAAAACTCCAGGTCCAGGTCTCTTTCGAGGGCTGCCATGATTTAAATATCACATTGTATTTCAGAGGTAGGATACAAGCACAAAAACATCCCTAATTAAGTAGGTGGGCTGAGAAACGGCCATATGCCTAGATTTCATTTATTGCATCAATAATGTAGAAACTAAGTTTATTTCAGTATAATGCACACCAATGCACATCAAGTCACCTTGTTTGAAAGATAATTGACCCCTATTGAAACTGGATAGTCATAAGCACTGCATTATCTTTTTTTATAGAAACAACGGCAGACGAGAAGTTCCTTGGGACATTCCCGAAATCTGCTTCCAAGGTCTCCATACGTGCCCGAATGGTGTTCATCCCTAGCGTAAGTGGAATGACAATATTTAAAACGTCCATATGTCATGCAGTTAACTTATTTGAAAAGGCAGGGAACTCTAGTTGAATCTATATGTAGACGAATTTGAAAAATAAGCTCTACCAGCACTTTTTTGTTCCATACATGCTGGGTTGTTTAAAAGGAGGGATTTTCACAGATAAGGCATGGTTAGCAAAAAATGACCTCTGAGGACTCGGGAGAGAGTTAAGTCCACGGAATTTTAGTGTCGTAGTTAAGAGAAATAGGGGTATTTTAAAACTGTCTTTCCCCTGAATAGTAAGAGTTCGAGGTCGTTTTTTCTATTATAATATGGCTTTTTCTTTCACAATGATATGCAGGTCATTAAGGCCGACAAAAAATTCACTTATAAACGGGGAACCTGCAGTACTGCGAATGAGACAAGACCCTGCACATTTACAAAACGTAAGTGCATATTCCTAAGGTTAATTCAGATTACTGGAAACAGTTCACAATTTGGGAATAAAGGAACTGACATTCCAAGTTCCTAATACTCTTCGTCTGTCGAAGCTGGTGATTCGTGGTGATAGGACATACGAAGTCTCTGTCGTGTACCGTGATCCACTGCCAACAAAGGACAGGGGTAAGTCTTTGCTCGTATACCTGTATGAGGGATTTCTATTGCTCAGATCGTTCTTTCAGATTTATTTTTCAAGTCTTTGCCACGGATGAGGCTTTTATTTGTGAACTTGTGACTTGGTAGAATTAGTTTGCACAAACATTCGCGATACAGTTGACATACAAACGAATGCAGACTTCACATCCGACAGTGTTAGTTAGGACACCAGCTTGGCGCGTAATTGTATGAGCTCAACCAAATATGTCTATGAATGTACTCATACCACTGAAATGACAAAAGAAGAAAGTAAAAGTCCTGATACTTCGTTTCCAGACAGAGATCCCCACCTTGTGCTTCATGACCTGTAGTGCACATCTTCCTTCCGTCGAGAAAGTACAGACGTGCTTAGTTGAACGTTTTCTACCAAAGACTGAATGCGCTAACCCGTATGCATGTGCTTAAAATCGCTTACATCCTTGTATTATTCTTACTAACTTCGTCCTCTTTGCAATACGTTTGCTGCTTTTACGACTTTTTTTGTTGACGCCTGTCGTTTATTTTCTCATCCTCGCACCCAGTAAGATAACACGTTTTTGTTTCTGAATACAGATTTCGCCATTTCCCCACGCCATTCTTTGCCGATTGCCCACTATGCTCCACTTAATGCCAAATCCGTGGAAGTCAACTGTGCTGTCAAAGTACCTCCAGGCGTCACTTCTGCCAACGTATGTTTACTGGTTGATTTTGGCAAGTATATTTTTGACTATTGGTTTGGATAACTTAGCACCCGTTAAGATGGATCCGCTTAAATAAGAAGTCATTCTCCGTAATCATTCAGCGCGCAGAGGAGTGCGTCACGGTTAATGGGGGAAGTGATAAGACGTAGACAAACATCCTGAAACAACCTGCGACTACACAAACACGGAATTTCTCTTCTACTTACCTTCAGATGTTAATATTACAACTACCGATTTGTATTGTGGTCACACTACTCAGCAGGAAACATCGTAGGACCAACATCTTCAGATTTTCCCACAGGCTCTTCAACGGACGTCACGGAATATCACGCAAGACCCTCAAGAGGAGACGCTTCAGTACACGCACAGGAAACTCTGGCCCTGTCTGTGTCTCATTGGCGACGTCGCAGTATAAGCACTAATAACTCGGGTGGCAGGGTATGTCATACTTGGCGGCACAGGTGCTAGCCAAAAGCCCAGACACGTGTTTTGCCGATATTTTGACGCTGCACGTCACAGCTGCGAGGCGTTCGGCTCTTCAGTGGGTCCCCCTGTGTGCTTTCTAGTAGATATTCCAGTTTGCAAATTGTCGCTGTTTAAGCTCCTCAGAAAGTAATCGCCAACTTGGAGTAAGTCATTCTATCCGGGACTCATAGGCTCAGACTTAATTTTAAAATTATGTCTGAGCCTATAAGCCCCAGATGATAGACTGACTTACTCCAAATTTAGTTCAGTTCAGTTTTATCCAGAGGAAGGTAGACGAACACCTTTGAACTCTCTAGTGGTTGCAATAACGTCACGAAAAGACAATACGTAGGAACTTTGGAAAGAAGAATTGCTAAATCATCACATGCAACAAGCATGTAATACTTGCTTGCGTCAGCGTATGCCTGCCGTGTCATAATTGTGAAATACCCAAAACGTGTTACTTAACCGATCCAAGTAGCATGGGAACAAACGCTCATTCTTCAGTCAGAATTCATTGGGCCGCAAGTAGCCGTCCGACGGAGGCATTAAACCCAAGAGTTGCAGAATAATGTTGTTGAACCATAGGGATCAGTATACTTTGTAACCTGTATCTTCCGGGGAGGATGGTACGAAGGGGAAATTAGTTTCTGATGACGTGGTGGTACATATTTCTCTACTGGTCAAGCTTTCTCTTAAAAGTGTTCACGGATGAGGACATGACGACGTCCACAGGCAGAGCATTCCATGCCTTAATCACCCCGGGACTGGCGACGAATTTCCTTGCGTTCACTCTTGCCCCGGTCACACGTAGTTTGAGCGGATTTCCTCTTAAGCTAGTAGTAGTGGATGGCTGAAAGTAATCGCCGGATGTGAGGCAACAGTCTTGACCCCGCCAGGTAGCTGCTTTTAGTCTAGGGGAAGGAGATCAAGCTTGGACAGTCGAGTTTCGTAAGGTAGGTTGCTTTGACCTCTGACAAGTTTGATTGATTGTCGTTCGACTTTTCCGAGCGTGGTGCGGTCTTTGACAGACCAGGGTCTCCAGGCCTGAATGGCAATTTTCATTAACTTCTGAGGAAGTTGCAACTAAAAACTAGGTTTAACAACTGCAGTATTCTGAGCAACTGCTTGCAGACTTTGTTTCCTTAATTCCTGGTGGACTAATGCAATTGGCGAAAATTTACCAAAGTAATTGTTCCTGACAAAGTCTATACGTTGCTTGGATTATTCCCAGATATGTGCATTTGCCTCGGTTCGAACCTTCGTCACATTATCCGGACGAGAATGTCGCCCGTCACTTTCGTTTGCATCCAGAGTCGGACATAAACAATTACACTCAGTGCTTCAAAGAATCTTTTAGACAAGCCGCTTTACCAACCGCACCCTGAAATGCATTTAATCTTCTGGACGTCAGAAGTTTGGTTAATTTTGGAAGGCGTACGACGAATTTCGAGGAAACAGATGAAAACGCTTATATTAGCAATCATTGCTGCGGCCTGATCGGTTGAAACCGAAGTGGGTGCCTGCCAATCTAGTCTGTGAGCGGAATTAACTGCGGGAGCAGGAGTTGAGCTAACTGCCTGTGCGCGTGAGTATTTCGAAATATTACAAAAGGCCAAACTGACCTGAGAAGTAAGGCTTGTCAGTCGGACATTCGATATCACGCTTTCCAAGAAATGCTGCTTAACTTTAAAGGAATATTTAGGGAGGAAGTTTTACAGGGGACCGTCCTAGATATTTACCTAGAGGTGTTCCTGTTTACAAAACGATTCAGATTTTTTGGAAGATTTTTGCCCATACCACCGGTTTTTCACTTTCGAATGAGCCTCATGCTTATCAACATGGACTTTAGGTCCAAGAGTATGCCATTTATGCAAGTTGCTGCTAACAGAATAACACCTGCAACTGTCTGTGGAAATAGGTTCGGGTGAGACTCCGAAATGCCGGGAGAATATAATTTCTCCTTTCAATGGTCATATGTCCTTCTTCTCGTGCATGGAAGCGTTTCGATTATCAGTTTATATGATTGCCTTTGAGAGCTGATAATAGGATTTTTGTAAGCTCACAGCGAAGAACATCAATTTCAGATCACTATATGCACGTATGGAGAAATCCAATGCACAGCCGATGGAAGGCAAGGGAGAAAATGTAAGCAAAAATCCTGCTTTGGATACTTTCCTCCATCTCATGCTCATTACTATGCTTTGCCTTTGCAGGCAGATCTCAATTCGATCCCAAAACGAACATTTTCACAGCGTTCTACAGTATCGATAGGGCGGATACCACCTTTTCATCGGCGTACGACGTTCTGTGTGTGGCTGAGGGCCCTAAGACTCGGTCGTACCTTTCTAAGTATGTTGAATTCTCGGGACGAGGTAATTGAGCCATTAATCCATAACAACTGTCCATCTACTGTTGTATAGAATACAATCGTGCATATGTCCATAAAAATGAAACTGTTGTGGTCAACGTAATATTGTGACTTTATGCTTGTAAATTAATATGTTACACTTTTGTTACCCGGTAATGTATGTGTTTCCTTCGAAAACTTTAGTGAACTTTCCTCCATAGATAAAACACCATATGTGAGATATCTAAATTACATGCATCACCGAATTTAGGGGATGGATACACGGGAACGTACGGCCAAAATTCCAGCAACATAATTTGGTTTAAAACCTGGTTTGAGCCTGTGGTAAGATTTTCATACCCGCCATTGTATAATGTTTATATTTTTCTAATTTACTATGTCGAACTTACTATCTTCCAAATGCACCATCTTATAGTATTCGTACCCAGCCAGGTTATCAACTAAAAGCAGGGTGGCTTTGTAACTACCCTGGCAAATATTCCTGTCTTGAACTGCCCACCTCAAAAGGTTCCAAGTTCAGTGAGATTGCGCGCAGCAAGTAATATCTGCTCTTACCTGATGTAGAAAGGTATCTCATGCATGGGTCATCTGTGTGCGTTACTCTTACTTCCAGTGAACAGCAAAAAAGGGTGACCTAGGGCTAATTGTCACAAAGAAAGCAAAACGAGGCGCATATTCTGTCGAGGTATTTGACGGAGTTCATACTGGTTCAGGCTTGTTTTGGAGAAATATTTAACTCAAACAATGTGGCAGAGTAGCGACAACGGAAGACGCGACAGTTCGGCCATCGCAAGCGATTATGTTTGTTTTATTTCAAATATACCCCGCTCATTGTTTCATGCAGGTGGGGCCGAAGGAATGAGACTGTAGGCAGACGACAGAGATTAATGTCTAAACCTCCACTTATTGATCGGTCACTTCAGTGGAAGACCCTTCATGTTAGTTTCACAGGTCTTACGACATTGACCTGCGCCTGAATTAGTTTACCGCGATAGCGGACTTGTTCACCGTCTGTCGCATTCTACCCTACCGCGCCCACCTGGACCCAGTGGTGGGATTTAGGCAAAACGATCGGGAACGGACTCAGACGCGGTGGCCCACAAAGCTAAACAGCCACTCTAAGCGTGTCAAGCGCAACCTAATCGCCGCAGTCATTTCCCAGGTTTTCTCGAAAAGGAAGCAGTTCTGATCTCACGTGAGGGAGACAGTCGTCGAGGCCACATGCAGAAGTTGCCGTTGATCCTGTCTCGCATCTCTGAGCAGCGTTTCAAGTCAATACTTTTAGGGCATCGTGGTAGATTTAAGCGCGCCCGATTTTTTATAATTAAAGGGGCACTGAAGCGCCATAGGAGTCGGTTCTCCGGAGTCGATCTCACTTTCTCGCCTCACCCAAACACTAGTCCACTGTCTGCGCCTGTCAGCCGCATGGCGCTTAGATTGAGCGCACTCTCTGGCGCAACTGGAAGCCTACTTCTAGGCGTGCATCACAGCCCGATGTGCGGAATTTGGTATGGGATGAGCGAACTCCGGACAGCCTGATTAACGCGTGCCATTAGCCAATCGAGTCCCCACTTTAGTCCCGCGCATATACATCGCGACCCGTCGTGGAGACCCCAGGGTGATAGACCTGGTCGATGATGCATTTATTGTATTTACTTGACGTTTCACGTTCATCTACAAACCCACCTGGTTCCTCGAACTTGTATTTTTTCTGTACAGCGACAACATGAGCCCTTCATGCTTACTGCCTCAATGGGAAGCATGGGCTAGCCAATAGTTCTTTAAAACCCGCATGAAGCACTTCGACTCTGAATTTGTTTTAGAGGCAACAGTGACTTAATTTGCCGACTGGTGGGTTTCAAATGTCCGCGAAGCGTTCATTTCAAGAGTGTAGTTGCAATTCCATAAATGGCGTGGAACTTACTTTAGGGCCACAGTATCATGCATATGTACGATTTCACAACCTTCGCCGATTTCTACGCTTGCATTTATGCTGCACGCGAATATTCAGACTATGCATTAATATGTTCCCGATAATTTCTGATTCCATTCGAAACACCTGTACGTCTCCCTCCAATTTTGAAGGAAGTCAGGTCTATAAGAACATACAAATGTTCCAATGGGATATGTCGCGCGGGGAGTTCCCAAAGTGGATACATAATCAAGCCCGGTTAGTTGAATGTGAGACCATAGCATGCAATGTTTAAATCGAAAAATTCACACAGATTGCATATTTTTATTGTAGATAAAATACCGGGAGTCTTCAATTTTTACCTCGACAGCGACCCGAAGAGAACTCGTAACTGGGTATCGGTGCATGGGGAGCATCCGGAGGAGGTTGTTATTTCATTCTTATCGACATATTGGCAACCAATCCTATGTACGTACAGTTTGGCCTTTGCGTATTTGGAAACAACACAGTAAATGTTGTATTGCAGCTTACAACTGATAAGCGAACAGCTCCTCTTCATACTAGGGGGACTGGTTCTATTCAGACTTGCCATATTTTATGTCTTAATTAACGGAAAACTACTATAAAAGTTGTTATATGGCGAATATTACTTTGGCATAGTTAACCCTTCCGTAAGAACGATCGGTGAGCGCCCCCTATCACTGTATACTCCCGCTCGAAAACCGACAGGACAACGAGCTCGTGGCCCAGTGGTTAGAGACGTGGACTTCTAACTAACAGGTCGCGAGTTCAAGCCTCGGGTGTTCCACACTTCGGGGTTAGGTATGACTGGCTGACGACGGCTAATAAGCCAGAAATGAGCATTCCAGTTTCCCTTGTCTTTGTCGGTAATGCCATAATGCTTTTTGAGTCTTGGTTCTATGTGTTTCGCAAATCGCTTTTTTGTACAAGGAACTAGGAAACTCATTTATGACTAGTAGAAGCAATGGAAGGGTTTTCATCTTTCCCGTTTGCGTAGATCTTCGCAACGTCCTATTCTAGAGTGGCCTGCGCTTGGTCAGTACATGCATATCACTCTTCTGCATTCGCATGTGTTAATCAACAGTTGTGAACCGGACCTCTGTGCATATTTTGCGAAGCTTTATCACGTGCATTCCAAAAGCACCACATTATGCCATGCAGCCGAAGACGCTATCAGTAGGACAATTGAAACCCAGACTCGCTAAACAAATTCCGGTCAGTCTCACTGCTCCGTCAAATGTCGCAAGCCCTTCCGGCAGACATTTTGCGAACAACTTTCCTAGAATTAGTAGCTGTTAGGGCAGATTTTGGAAAACTCTGTCAAAAAACCTACTAGTTAAGTGAACTTGGTAGTCATTTAGTGGATTCTAGATTGATTATTTATAAAACACTGTTTGGACAGTCGGCTCACTGTATTGAGTTTGGCAGATTCCATACGCTGCAGTAGGTTACGCGGGTAACCTGATCCACATGTAAGTGAACTTACGACTCCCGGTTGGGCCTCGTAGATCAAGTGGCTAAAGCGCTGGCTGTACTCAACCCCCCCTCCCCCCTGTTCTCGTAGGTTCGAATCCGACTGAGGTCAACGAGTTTTCCATTATTGGGTCACAATGAATTCGGCCGAATTCTTTGAAATAATGGTTTGAAAGCAAGACCGGTTTTTAGAATCAGTGCGCGACACCACACCGCACCACACCCAACTAACAAACACACAAATAAAGATGAATTTTCAGGTTCCCGCTGCAATTATGAGTAAGGATGAGGGAACTGACCGATTTACGAAAACACTCGTTTATTTATTTTTATCTTCCAACTCATACAGGGATCCATCGTTAGAGCTGACGAAAGTAAGGTTTGTTCTGTTGCTACCGTCATCGCTAACGATAACCCACATTAGGAGCTCTAAAGTCCAGAAAAATAAACAAATTGTTCTAGAAGGATGCACTTCTTGATCAGATAGCAGACGCCGCGAGTCTTTGAAATCTTCTCGAAAACCGTGCGGCCCATGTGGTGCTTCTGAGAGTGTTCACATTCCTCATGTGGACGCATGCTTTGTCTCACATTTCAAAGCATTTTGACGCGTGGTAGCGAATCAGGCGACATGCACAACCACGCAAGTTGAGATCTTGGACACAAGTAAAGCCACAGGCTATATCTGAAAGTGTCGCGAGCTGATTATCATACTTTAAAACCGAATTCCACCAAACACCCAAGTACGCAACTCAAAAAGCCTGCTCTTGAGTAGGCACATTTTTCAAGGAATAAGCATACATTGCTCGACGCAATAAACGGCTAAGTTGAATTACATGACATTGGACTAGTCTATAAGACACTGAAAAGGAACGCCACTAGCAAATGCAGATAGCCTTTTGCAAAATTCCAAGAAATGTGGATATTTCCATATCTTAACCCTAACCTTAACATTAGCCTTGACCTTAAAAATAACTCTCGTCCTAACCTTAACACTAACCCTAAACTTGGTCTTAATTCCAGCACTGAAACTAACCCTATTATCTCTGGATATTAGCGCAGGGCCTCTGGAATAGATGAATAACTCTACCCCTATCTTGATGACTAGTCATCTATCGTGAACGTATCGCTAACTGGGAGATGCATTCAATCACAGTCACAATCTTATATATTCATCTTATAAGTTCAGTCGCAAGTATAACCACAGTTTATATTTGAGTGATGCGGCATTTTACGTCGTATATACAGTACAATATTGAATGAAAACCTAGTTTCATAAGTAGCTTGGGCCTCTTTTTCAAAGGACATGTACTTTGTCAAAGGACTTGTCGTAGGCGGAAACTTGTTTTTTTTGTGTGCAAATGAGCGCAGATAATTATGTGATTCTGGTTAGAAAAATAAAATAACCGTGGCATTTTTGATCTTAAGCAAATTCGCATCTTTTAGCCACTGTTTTGCGAGTTCCAGATCCCATTACAAAGGAGGCTGTCCTTTTGCTTTTCCGAGCTTTTGTCATCTGGAAAATAACTTTGCTTCACCTACCTTAATTTCAGCATATTCCTTCTCTCCAATCGAGGTACGCGATCTGGTTCATTATCCATTTGACCGATCCGAAGAAGTGGTGATCGAATGCCCCGTTTCTTATTACCCAGGGTTCGACGTCCCAAAGGTAGGCCAAGCAACCTACTTTTCCACTGTTTCGGAAACATCCGTCCCGTTGCTGCCATTCGAAGAAGTCTACAAGATTTCCATATTGACACTACGTCCATTTACAGTCTTTAATAAAAAAAACCCAAGCGAGTGCATTCCCTGCTATAATTCACATTATTTTAGATTATCGAAAATGAGTACTTACGACAGGGAGCTTTGTTTGGAAAGAAATCAAAATGCACTTTTCAGCACCTTATGGAGATCGAGACTGTAGGAGAACCCGTTGCCCCATACGGCAAATTTTAGTAGTAGTAAAACATGGAGGCCAATATGTTGTAGTCAGAAAACATTCCGTTGGTGTTGTATTTCGACCCAAAATGCACACGAGTCCTCCTTCACCCAATTATTTCCTATTGTTTGATTCGCTGTATCTTATTATCCTACATAGTGTAACCTTGCAGACATTTTTTGAAAATGCTTTGATTGACTATAAAGTCTTTGGTCTTTTACAGTTGCCCTAGTTGAAGAAGTTTTGGTTGTCTGGCATTTTTATTGGCCAGAAGGGCTGAGTCTCCTCTCCTATGCAGTTCCTTGATAGATAACTAATCATCTGCCATGCTCTGGTTGCCTGCATAGATCGTGGTGCATGACAACGGTGAGGAGAAGTGCAGGTATGGCTACTCAGGCTCTACGGAGTGTGAATGTAAGTGATCGCTTGGTGATTTCAAAAGACCTCTCCATATAGTCTGCTTTTAGACGAAAATATCTGATCATTTCTTAGATCAAATTTCGTGAATGAAAGACAGAAAAAGCATACTGTAGCCTGTGCAATAAAAAAGTTGTCTTTCCTGCTGGGCTAATAGTTACGCGATAACTAAGTTAAAACTGCAACTGACATTCGGTAATATTTGTTTAACAATTGCCGTACCGCGGATGCAAGCAAAATAACATTCGGACTTTTTGCCGATAGAATTTAAGAGGTGAGTTCCAGGAACAGTCGCACAGAAGGAGACGCGATCAGTGGATCAAGAGTTTTATACGCCCTACGTTTCGGATCCACACCCGAATATACCATCAGAGACGGAATCAAATAAGGACAGCGGGTTGACCAGATGTTGCAGTATTTATGAGATTAACCGCGTAAGTCTCAACCTGTTGGAGTCATGGTCTTCCGGTCCTCAGTCGGTTAGCAAACGCAATGACCCCCCCCACTCCATATTCTGTTCTGGGACTTTGCCTAGGTAAAGTAATTAGCCACGCGGGGAGCGCGCGGTGGCCATCGTTCCTGGTGCAAATGACGACGGGTCAAATGGCCCAATAACCCACACGAGTAAGGAAAGTTCGCAAATTGACGTTTCCATTGCGGGCAATTAAGCAATTACTGCGCCACATGCAACCACCTACGGTGAATGAGACAGTGCCACAGCAATGGCCTCCTATAAACACCGCAACATCTGTGCGACTCACCACTCTTATCTGATTCCGTCTCCGATGGTGGCTTCGAGAGTGAATCCGAGACGACAGGCAAATAAGGCCCCTGTTCCAGCAAAAATGTTTCCCTCTTTGCTACTAAAGCGTGTTCTACAGTTCCGAGATAGTATTTATCTGGTAAATCTTTTCATCTACTATGTATCTTTCCTGGTTTATAGAGAGTCGATTAGCGGGCGGTTAGTAGATTAGGTGAACAAAATAGAGCGAGACTACCAAACTTTTCACTTTTGCTTAAATTTAAAGTTTCTTAGGGGCTCTTGAAGGTGTTGCGCATCTGGATCTCCGTTAGAATTTAACATGAAAATATCAAGAGTTTCGAAGGGGTTTGGTGGTAAACATCTAAAAGTGTTGCATCTATAATCAGCGGGTGGAAATTAGGGCAAACCTGACCGAATTAAAAGTATCAGTTGGCAGAAATTCGCTCTGTCAATGCTTGCAAAGCCTCCCGACGATTTAGGACACTTCACTTCTGGCAGGTCCCTTCAGGAACTGTTCGGTACCCAATGTTCTCAGGCCATAACGCCACAAATCCCGCTTGTGTATTTTGAACTGAGAGTCAAGTACGGCTGAATACTGAGTATTATCAGTTCCTGCCCCAGAGAAAACGAGTTCACATACGACTTTTCCATCCAGTTTTACTGCCGAATAAGGGACTCATCTGACTTGAATGATTAAGCGGAATATTATTTAATTCGAGATTGTTAAGAATATGGCCTAGAAATTAAGATATATGGGCCTTAAAGTCATACGATTTAAACAACAAATCCTAAGGGATAATTTATTGACCATCATGGTCGATATGATGCTTTCGAGAATTTTCCCGAATGTAGCAGTTTAGCAAATTATACATATATTCAGCTAATTTTCATGAATTTTATTTTCTGATCAGCAAATTTATATTACTTTTAAATTATCCAGCACGGAAGGGATCGGCAAACAACATTTTGGTGATTATTCACCGTGTGAAATTTGAGGATGATCCAGATTCGATCGCCCGTCACATCCTCTGTACTTCGACACACTACAACACCTTCTACATGACAGACGACGTATTCTATATGTCACATTATGTTCAGTTTCCTGAGAACTAGGTTACGGGTCCGCCAAAAAGGCCGGGGGGTGGTGACAAAAATATAAAAATGGTAAAGGGATGACTTTCTATTCTAACTCATTTACATTTATTGCAGTATTGGTTTGAAGTTTATCCCAAAGTAGCCTATAGGTTTCTGTTGGGGTTGATCTGGCGTGAACTCACTGCGTAAATGTCGGTTAATGGCCAAACTGATGACTGACTGTTCTTCCACACATTGGGTCAAGGCTGCCCCTCGCTCTTCCAAGTCCATTAAGATTTAAGAATGATCACACCTACCATCGCAGATAATAACTCTTGAAACTCAGGGAGTTGACACCATGCGTGGATACGAACCCAATCGTAGGACGTAGGTGTCTGCTGCAACAATGAAGGATTAGACTTCAAAAGTCGTATGGACGCGACGTCCATCGAATTCTCTCGTCTGCAGTACGCCCAACACCGTCTATTCCGCTTAGATTGGATGCTGAGCCCTAGATCAGTTAATCCGGGTGATTGTAGACGTGCAAGTACTGACCCAGCCCCGCATCCTCCAGTCCCGCTAGCGCAATATGTTTACAGTCCTCTCCTTTGCAGAACTGACAGTTCGACCATCGTTTTCGATTATGTCCACTGTAGGCCCCACAGTTACAGCAGCGATGGGAGCAGGGACGGTGACTTACGCAGGGGTTTATAGTGCCGGTAGACTTGCGTAGCATCTACCTACACTCTCTCCTCCTCCCTCGCCTAAGCCCGGTGTCAAGGCAGAGTCAAGAAGACCGGAGACGAGGGAGGCCGCAGGTGGATGGCTCGGACGGATCCTCACCTTGGCGTTCCACTACACCTCCTGGTCCACACAACAATAACCAGGATTTCAACCAACACAACAGAGATTTGGAGGCTGGCACGGCCGAAGCCGCACCTGGGCGTGCCGCCAACGCCTGGCTCGGATCGCACACTGTGATGGGAGTGCCATATAGGCCACATTAAAAAGGAGCCATTGCAGCCTGACTCTCAGACCGCCTCCGGTCAAGGAGGAGGTCCAAGTTAGCCCGTCAGTTGGCAACCTTCCAAGCCACGGTTTTTAGCGCACCGTGATAGCTTCAAGCGCGTCAGATTGTTTATAGTGAGGAGAAAGTGCGCTGAGTCGTCGACCTCACTCTCCCTTCCCACTCCCGCACCCCAGCCGCCGTCCGAGCCGGTCAGCAGACTGGAGCGGGGAATGGGCGCGGTGGCTGTCATGGTCGAATGACCATGACTGCGCGCGCCACGACACGACCTGGCCGTCCATGCACACAACACCAGGATTTGACACAACGGGGGTTGAATGGCGTGTCTCTCACTTGCGTGAGAGTGCCGTGGAAGGTGCTATTTCAGCCCGTTCCCGGCCCATCAGTCCGCCACTCCACACAACACACACACACACACACACAACGCGACGAACTGCGTAAACCGAGAGCGGGCGTCAATCAGCAACCTTCCTATCCACGACGCTTGACGTGTCGGGATGGTCTCGGACTCAAGTCACCCGTGCAGCCGAAGCCGCATGGGGACCGAGTCGAAATGCGGACTTCCCACTTGCGTGGGAGGTGGCAGTTGGGTGCATGAGGTGTGTGAGTGTTGATTTCTGGTGGGGTGATGGTGGTAGTGGTGGTGGTAGTAGTGGTGGTGGTGGAGGAGGAGGAGGAGGAGGAGGTAAGGAGTGTGTGGAGAACAGAACAGAACAGTCGACTAAGCACAGCGTCTACGCTCAACATTTCGCGCGGGCGAAGTATCGCGATTTGCTCATTCACTGTGCTCTTATTGAAAATTGATCTAAGACTCCATATTTGTCAGGAGCTAATAATTGGGATCAAGTCCGAATGTAATGTCTTCAATGGTAGGGGGCACTCACCGATCGTTCTTACGGAACTCACTCCTTCCGCTGTGCCTTACGGGTTCTCTCTCGAGCCCAACCAGCAGCCGCACAGCGGTGCAGGATAGAGGCAGAATGGTATTACCGACAAGACAAGGTAATGTCTTCATTGGCGAGGCCGGCTTGTGCTTGACAGACGAGGTTCAATAATGCTGCAACGGTCATGTCGGTTTGTTTCGCACTGTCCTTAAAAGTTGTGGAGACCTTAGATTACTCAGGTACTCCTGGTTGGCTGGGAGTGGATACATTCTGAAAAGTAGTAACTATGGACAGGAGGAAGCGGGTGCCGAATGGATTGTCTCGGCAACCGATTATGATAAAGGTAATTAATCAGGACGTGTTACTTTCAAAATAGCGCACGCCAGTCCACGGTTCAATTTCAATTCGGACTAATCGTCTCTTAGTTGAGGCGTGCTTCGGCTGTCCATTTTCTATGCGTGTGCATATGTAGGTATTGCGAATAACAGAGAAAACGCGTGACCCAGGTAACTCAGTAGACGAAGACTGGAAGGCGATCATCGCTCAAACCAATTGTTTATGTATCCGACGTTTCGAACTCTCATGCGAGTGAGAAGGAAACTGTACAACTCAACACAAATTTACTTCACATCTGCCGGTGATGACTTCCAACTGCGTTGCTGATTTGTTCACGTAGTTCCCGATAAGCGATTGACAGACCGATATGTCGATTAATCGAGCCCTCAATTGAGTGAGACGCTTCCTGCAGTAGGCGCGCAACTCGGTCGTCCGACTGAACCACTATTCTCACGCACTCAAAGTCAAAGGGAGGAGGTGTGGGCAGCTACTGAGGAGAGTTTATCCTTCCGTCTCACAGTCAAGTCCTGCCCGTGCAATCTCGTGAGAACCTGTATGCCGGTTTCACCAACATAAGGGGCCTGACCACAACTGCAGTCTACCCCCGATTTCTGATTGATGGGTAGACCATAGAATCTCGCGATCGTTGAATCCTTTGCTTTCATCCTCTTTCAGTCAAGCTGTGTTATTGCTTTTGTCTTCCGAAGACTTGTCAGGTCCCTGCTGATTTGTCTTATTAATATCTTTGTCTTGTCACCTTCACGAGGAATGTGGGCAGTTCTATCGTCGAAATGTACGTCGGCTTTGTCGATGTAGCCCTCATTGATAGTAGTGAAAATGCGATTCCCAGATCGTAAACCAAAAAAGGGAAGCGTTCACCAGTAGAGGTGTATTGGAGGTCTGACGTTTTGAGTAGTTGTTTCGTTTACTTATCTTCAGAGACTGGCGGGCCACGCAACAAACAAAGTGCGCCATATAACGAGAGCTGTGAGAATGACTTCCTAGTCTCTAAAGATGGGCAGACGAAAAAATCACTCGAAACGTCAGACCTCCAATACACTTCTTCCGGTAGTCCTCCTTGATCAGTACATCACTTGATGGTTCTTTATCGTCTGGGAGTATGACAATGCTTTTGTTGGCCAGAGTGCTTCGTCTTTCGTTTCTGAGAGCGTACTGCGTTTTTTGAAGGACATGAGTCTGGGGGGATATGCGCTGTTATAGCATATTCCTGTCTTCTCAGTAATTTTGGCTTTACAAATGACAGATTTGCAGCTTCAGTGAAGTCAAGTAGTTGGGCATTCGTGGTATTGGAGCAGGCATCACGGCTCAGGACTTCTACTTGCTCTGCTGTCTGTTGTTTCGAAGACAGGTTGCACTCGACACCATCATAGCAGAGGCTGGCATTCTTTTTGCTCGGTGTGTTCAATTTTAGCTTCAATTTGGCTTCATGTGCATCGCGAATGTGCTTGGCACCGAGAGAAATACTGCGGTGAAGACCGTTTATCAGTAGTTCTTCAAATATCCTTGAGCACTTCCCTTGTAGTTCTTCGATGTCTGCTTTGTACTTGAGTGATCGGAGGTGACAATCCTGAGAAAACAGGAATCTGCTACAACGAATATCCCCTAGACCCATGCCCTACAAGACACGCAGTATACTCTCAAAAACAGAAGGCGGAGCGCTGTGGACGTCAAAGGCCAACAAAAGCATTGTCATACTCCCAGCCGACAAAGAACCATCACCGGTTGTACTGAACAAGGAGGCCTACGTCAAGAAAGTCGACGTACTTTCGGACGATAGAACTGCCTGAATTCCTCGTGAAGATGACACAAAAAGACGCTAATAAGTAAAATCAACGGGGACCTGGCAAGTCTTCGGCAGTTGAAACAAAAACACAGCTTGACTGGCAGAGGATGAAACCAAAGGATTTAGCGATCGCAAGCTTCTATGGTCTACCCAATGTCCACAAACCAGGACCTCCCCTACGGCCGATGGTTTCTTTAAGAGGCACCCAAAGTGGCTGTTCCAGCGTCAGAAGTTTTTAGCTCGTTTCTGAAACAACCATCCACTCAGCTGGAAGGTTCATTTAAATACTACAAGTTATTCGATTCAGATGACGAAGTGATGATATCTTTCGATGTGATGTCATTTTTCACTATCATCCCACAACATCTCGCGGGTAAAACCGTGCAAACCTTGTTAGATCAACATCATAATAAGACGGACAATAAAATTAAGATAAAACACCGTGTCGATCTCCTGAAACACTGCTTGAATAACTTCTTTACCGTCAATGAAGCCACGTACAAACAAGTTAAAGTTACACCCATGGGGTTGCCGTCGTCTAGTCTGATCGTTCAGGCAGTGTTACATCGACTATAGGCACAGGCTTTTGGCCACTATCGACCACGATTAGGGGTACAGAATGTTGATGACACATTTGTTATCATTAATCGGAATAGAATAGGGGGATTCGCGCAACATCTGAACTCAATCTTCCCAGATATCCAATTCCTGATGGAGGAGGAGAAAGATTGCCAGTTGTCGTTCCTCAACGTACTAGTTCAGAGAAAAGGCGATGGTGAACTAAAAACGGTTTACAGGATGGGGACGAATACCTATCGCATTTTAAGTTTTCTCAGAAACCACTCCCATCCTCACAAACGCAGCTGCGTGAAAACACGCAGAGACCCATTGTAACGAGCCAGTCGAGAAGGAAGCCGAGGTCCAGTTCCTACGTAGACTCTTCACAGTTAAAGACTACCCCGGCAAGTATGTCAAAAAGTGCAGGCTA